GCCTATGAAAGGAACAGATTTTTCACACTTTTTTTGGGAGGGTACATCCCAGTTGTTTCCAAAGGGGGAGATGATCAAATGAAAAAAACAAAAAGCTCTTGAGTACAAACAAATATCTTGCCGGGTGCCTGCAAATGGCTGAGCAGAGCCTGCTCAGGGCAGCCCCCAGGATGACTGGGAAATACTTCATAGCTGGCAGCCCCTAACTACAGGCCCCCCTTGCCCTGACCCCATCTTCTGCTCTTGCTCCCTCATCTACCTGCTCCCGCTAATCTTTATCCTCTCCAAGTCACCCTAACTCACCTCAGCTTCCCTTCCTTTACATTGTTTTTGTTTTTGTTTTGTTATAAGACAGGGAGCCACTCTTTTGTATTTTCTTCCAAAATCATTTGTGCTAATTCATTCTAGATACTTTGGAAAGAACAGAAAAATAAAATAAAATTTTAAAAAATCACCAATAACATCCCCAAAGAAATCTCTGCTAACATTTTGNTTTACATCTGTAATTTTGTCATTTCAAAATGTTATATAAATAGAATCATATAGCATGTAACCTTTTGGGGATTGGCTTTTTTCACTCAGCATAATTCTCATAATTCATCCAGGTTGTTGTATGTATCAGTAGTTTTTTCCTTTTAATTGCTGAGCAGTATTCCAAGGTATGGCTATACCATAGTTTGTTTAACCATTCAGCCATTAAAAGACATCAAAAGATGTCAACTATGCTAGGAAGGAAGGGAGAGAGGGAAGGCGGGAGGACAGATGGGATGGAGGGAGGAAGGAAGGGGTGGAGGAAGGAAAGAAGGAAAGAAGGAAGGAAGGGAGGAAGGAAGGAAGGAAGGAAGGAAGGAAGAAAGGAAGGAAGGAAGGAAGGAAGGACATCTGGATTTTTTCTAGTTTTTCACTATTATGAATACAGTTGCTATGAAAATTCGTGTATAGGTTTTTGTGTGACCAAAAATCTTCATTTCTCTGGAATACATGCCCAAGAGTACAACTGCTGGGCCATATGGTATTGCATGTTTTGTTTCTTAAGAAACTGCCAAATTGTTTTTCAGAGTGGCTGTATCATTTTATATTCCCATTAGCAATATATGAGTAACCCAGTTTCTCCCTGTCTTCACCATCATTTTGTCATATCACTAATTTTTTTATTTTAACCATTCTGACAGGTGTATAGTGATAATCTTTTTGTGGTTTTAATTTTCATTTCCCTAATAGCTAATGATATAAAACATCTTTTTATGTGCTTATTTATCACTTATATGTCTTTTTCTGTGAAATGTCTCTTCATGTGTTTTGCACATGTTCAAATTGGATTGTTTGCTTTTTTTACTGTTGAGTTTTGAGAGTTATTTATATATTTTAGATACTAGTCATTCTCAGAAATGCAGTTTATAAATATTTTCTCCCAAACTGTCTTAATTAATTAAGCTTGTCTTAATTCTTTAAATGTTTGGTAGAATCTCCAGTGAAACCATGTGGGCCTGGATATGTCTTTCATGGGGAGTTTTAAAATTACACATCTGAGCTCATTAGTAGAGGTTACCAGGGCCTGGGGGTGGGAGGTGGGGCAGGGGAGAAGGGAATGCGGAATTATTATTTAATGGGTACAGAGTTAGTTTGACATGATAAAAAAGTTCTGGAAATGGGTAGTGGTAATAATTGCACAACATTTTGAATGTATCTGATAACACTGAATTGTATGCTTAAAAATGGTTAAAGTGGTAAATTTTACATGTATTTTACCACAGGAAAAACAACAACAACAAAAAGCAGCCCACCAGAAATCTTAATTCCACAAGGACTCAAGGGGGTCAGGTAAAGGGTGGGGGGAGTGGGAAAAAGTACCACATTCCCACCCCACCCTCCCCCAGATTTCCAGAGAGGAAAAGAAATTACTATTGGAAATGAGGTGGAATTATTAATAGCCCATCATAACTCACAGCTCCTTTTCATTATAACAGTGTTTAATAATTAAGCTTTTAAAAATCTAAATAAAAATACTTTTCACTATCATGACATAGAACCTCTGTAGCCACAAACATGTACTCACTTCATGGGCTGTCAGAGAGAAACAAGAAGAAAACACCCAGAGTTGTCATCTGGCCCAGGGAGACAGAGATCCAGCCTTAGGAGAACTGACATCGCCATCCTTGGTGAGTGTCACCTAGTGTGAAAGCAAATGACTCTGATAAGATACTCAGGCTAAGTTAGGCGTCTTCTGGAATACTTAGGGCATTTAGGCCCAAAGGGATGATTTGGAGTGGGACACAATGATTCTACCCAAATAGTGTCCAGACGGGCCTGGTAAAACTTGTCCCTCCTGGGTTGTGACTCAGACTGGGCTACCCACTTTGAATTTAATGAAAGAATTGTAAAAGTGGGAGTCGTGGGGAGGCCTTTCCTGTCTCAGCAAGACCAGCATCTACAGCTACAAGTCTCAGCAAACATCTGCATTAGTAACTCAGGGGATGATGCGATGATGTGAGTGGTCATAGCAAGATACTCTGCTTATTAGGACCACCAGGGCTGGGAGCAGAAAAGAGGCACTGGCAGGTGCAACAGGGATGCTTTGATGGTAACAACGGAGATTACAGGAGGCTTTTGGGCTGGAATTTGAAAGGCCTAAGGAGTTTGGGTTGTATCCTGAAGGCAATAAGGTTTTCAGCATAGGGACAGTATCAAAAAATTTGCGTTTTAGAAAAATCACTCTGGCAGCAGGCAAAGAATGTACAGGAAGGGGACAAGGAAGCTGTATGCTAGGGAAACAGTTTGGAAGCTATTCCAGCTATCCAGACAAGAAATGATGAGGCCCTAAATTAATATTGTTCAGGTGGGACTGGGGGTGGTGGTGGTGAGCATAAAACTGAATAAAAGAGATATTTAGGAGGTCAGGGAAAGCAAGAATGTAAAGAGTGGGGAAGGCGTGTAAAACGATAGGATTAAAAAAGAGATTTAGNCACCCCCACCCCCACCCCCACCCAACCTTACTACAGCTGCAGGACGTTGCCTGAATGTAACGTTACTTTTTGCTCTAACGGAAACCGGAACGTAGGGTCTGCCCCAGGAGAGGTTAGAAGGTGGGGGCTGGGTGAAAAGGAAGAGCATGACAGGCCTAAAATAATATCAGGGTAAGACACGCCCCGGGGGAGGCAGGAGTTCTGGGGGGGAGGGGAGGAGGCGCGTTGAGGGCGTGGTTTCAGACAAACTAGGCTTTGGCTTTCAGGATGTGTGGCTGAGCTTGGAATCTGACGTGCCTAGGTTCAAATTTGGGCCATCATGTGACTTGAGGAATCCATTTCACCTTTCTGAACCTCAGTTTCCCTATTTGTTAAGTGGGCAAGAAATTAATCATGTGAAAGCATACTTAGGTGCGTGACACAAAAAGCACCTACTAAGTGGTATTATTTATTACCTGCCTGTCAAGAAAGTTCATCTCATTTGCCATGTTTCTTGTATGGCCTTTACTCCAAACATACATTTGTCTGATAACTCTTGGAATTGCTGACTGGTTAAACACCCAGCATAGATTTCCCTGACAGCGTCCAATAGAATGCCTCCCTTGAGACCATTTTGGGCCTCTGACCGCAGATAGATTGGTAAGTGGTGATAATTCCTGCAGTAATGCAAGAATACTGCTGTTTTAGGAGATTGCAGATTTGAGTTCTCCTTCCAGCCCTATGATTTGGGGCACTCTATTTCACCTCCACAGAGCATTGAATTTCCTCCTCTGAAAAAAAGGGTGTTTCTGAGATCTCTTAATAGTTAGTACCTCTACCTATTATCACATTTTCTTGCCTTTCTAAAGGGACAAAAACTTCCTAAGATGATTGAATGGAGTCTACTTAGGAGCATAGGTTGGTTGGGTACTATTATCATGAAAAATTTTATTTGCAAGAGACTGAAATAAAATGAATAGTTTTAGGTGTAGAAAGAAGGTCAAGAATGTTCTGTTCACCAGAAACCTCACATCTTGGTGATATTTGATGGGACCCATAGCAAAGCTTGCCCTTTCAAATGACTCCTTGTGTAAGGAGACATTTTTATTCCATGGCTATATTTAAGAAAAAAAATATAGGAATTAATAAAACATTTAAGAAATCTCAGTAAATTTTAAATGCCAGAAACTGCTGTCTCTTTTACATGAGATAGATGCCAATTGCATTTTCTGATGAGCAGTGCCAGGCTGTTAAGTGTTTATGAATGAAGGAAGTATTGTCATATCTACAAGTAATTTGAAAGGACTTCTAAAAACTGAAGACATGTATGACAAGGGTCTGCATAAAGAGCTGAATGTCAGGCCAGGCTAATCGTGCTGAAGTGGAATCAGGCATTCTACCTGGGTTTAGAGTGCTATTTAACCTTTAACTTGGCTCCCAGTACATTTGTTCACTGGGTTGAGCTATTTGATTTTTAAGGACTTGTGCTGAAATCTCTCTACCCCTCCTGGTTGGAACAAGGCTTGTTTGAAAGCCTGCCATCTTGAAGTGGAGGTGCTGCCCAGTTTTTGTAGTTTGGGAAATTAGCATCACAGTACATAGCCCAAAGCTTACATAAAAAGACCTCATTAGCTTGATTTTGGCTGAAGGAAAGGAATCACTCCACCATTTTGTACTTTTGAAATTTCCTTTTAGAAGTGCAGTCTAAATTTTTTTTTAAGGGCAGATTGTAGAAGTTTGGCGTTAAATCCCTTGGGAGCTCAGTATAATGCTGAGATTGGGGCCTTTTCAGGTAGGTAGAGGTACAGTAACTCTACAGATGTTTGAATAAATTGATAAATGTCATTAGTTTTCCTTCACAGTGATCCCTTTTTAGGATTTTACGTAGTTTTGAAAAAAATTTTGTAGCAATTGCAAATCCTCCTTTTTCTGTGTAGGGCATAAGAAATGGACGTATCTAATCTGTGCTGTTTGAACCTACTAAACTCAAAAATGATGTCTTTAGTTAGAAACTGTAGTGAGCATCCCACTTAATAGTATTGCCATTTCCATTTGCAGCAAAAGGATCGCAGAGTAAAGAAGAACTTCAAGAAATTCAGCTATGTGAAGTTGATTTCCATGGAAACCTCGTCATCCTCTGATGACAGTTGTGACAGCTTTGCTTCTGATAATTTTGCAAACACGGTAAGTGCTGCCTGAGAATAAACAGAATTGAGTCTGCAGAGCTCAAAATGCCCCAAATGCTTTGTACATGATTAAAACTGCTTGCTTTCTGCCTACATTTCTATACAGCCGTTAAGAAAATACAGTATGCACTGTAATTTCATTTCACTTTTTGCTGTGGTTCTAGGTAGTAATTGTTGGAGGTAGATTAGCTACTTATTCTATCCTTTGAAATGTCGCCTAACCTAACATGCTTGATGATTTGCCATAACAACTCAGAAATCATTTGTAAACCTCTGAACCATTTTTCTTTGTAACAAAAGCTATTCTCTTGTAGTGCACTTGTAAATGTGATTTGCTCTCTGCACGGTTTATGGAAAATTGGTTCTTGAAAAGGGGGGGGAAATGCACAACCACATTTATTTATTTATTTTACAGAAACCTAAATTCAGGTCAGATATCAGTGAAGAACTGGCAAATGTTTTTTATGAGGACTCTGATAATGAATCTTTCTGCGGCTTTTCAGAAAGTGAGGTGCAAGATGTGTTAGACCATTGTGGATTTTTACAGAAACCAAGGCCAGATGTCACTAACGAGCTGGCCAGTATTTTTCATGCCGACTCTGACGATGAATCATTTTGCGGTTTCTCAGAGAGTGAGATACAAGATGGAATGGTGAGTTCGAGAATTTCACCAATATCAAGAAGTAAGGTACATTTTGAGGCATGACATACTTGCTTTAAAATAGTTTTTTTCCTTGTAATTTTCATTTTAGTCATGCCAGAATTTGTTGATCTTTTTAAAATTTAAGAGTATTTTCTTTGTATCTTAAAACAGTTTTTATTAATATAGTCCTACTTGTAAAACCTGAACATTTTGTAGGCCCTGAAAATCTTGGAAACTGGTAATATAAAATCGGCCAACTGCCAGATTTCCGTTGACACAGAAATCTAGGAAGGACACATGTCCTCAAGATTAGCTATATTGGCATTTAAGTTTTAGTGCCCAACCCTTAAACAGGCCTTTTGTAAATGTTCCCATTGTGGACCTGTGCATCTGGAAAACCTGTGAACTCATGTATAGGAGCTTGAGTGCAGATAATGACAATTAGGGCCCTTCCTGCTTCCACTTTTGCTCCTTGGTCTGCTTTTCCTGTGCACACTGCCTTGCCTTTTTAACCTCTGTCCTGCTCAAGCCACTGCTGCTGGTGAGGTACCTGGGTCCCACTCTCCCTCTCCCTGATCATATTGTTTAGTTCTGCAGATGTTTTCTTGTTAGCAAGATTTTCTTGACAAAGGAAACAAACAGTGTGTTGATTTACAGTCTGGTGCGGGCTCTCCAGTGTATTGTGGTCTAACATGGGTCCACTGCTTGGGCCATGCTTGAGTGACACTGACAAAAGTGAGAGCGCCTGGCCAAGGAGTGTTTTATCACCATCTAACTTCATGGTAATATACTATTTCCTCTAATAAGTGATGTGTGTCTATTGGAGCTATTATTGCAAGGGCTGGTGTCCAAACCTGGATGTGACCCAAACGTTGTCTATAGCCTGAATCACTTCTGGGCATTTTTCAGATCTTTGTAGATGCTGGTTGTTAGGATTAATAAAATGACAATCGATTAAAACTCTTAGAACTCATAAAAGTTTTTTGTCATTTTATGTCTCTCAGCCTGTGCACACTAAAAGTACATAAAGAAAAAATAAATAAAAAAAATAAGAGTACATGAAGAGTAGCAAAAGCTATGGGGATTTTAGAAATTTGGTAATTTAAAAGTGGGTCTTCCCTTGCTGGTACTTTATGGGTGATGTTTTTTGTTTATTTTTTCTCAACCGTCACCACAGTCAATTTTGGAATATTCCCATCACCACAAAAAGAAGCCCTGTACCCATTAACAGTCACTTTGCATTCTTTCCCAACACCCTCTGTTCCTAGCAACCACCAATCTGTTTTCTATTGTTATAGATCTGCCTATGCTGGACATTTCATATAAATGGAACCATACAATATGTGGGCTTTTGTGACTGGCTTCTTTCACTTAGCACAGCATTTTCAAGGTTTCTTCATGTTGAGGCATGTGCAAGCACTTGGCACCTTCCTATTGCTGAGTAATACTCCCGTGTGTGAAGATGCCATGTTTTGCTTACCCATTGATCAGTAGGTGGGTGTTTGCGTGGTTGTACCTCTCTTGGCTGTTAGGAGTAACACTTCTATGAACATCCATGCACAAGTTTTTGTGCGGACATAATGCTTTTGAGTAGATATCTAGGAGTGGAGTTGCTGGGCCATATAGTAACTCTTTGTTTATTTAACCTTTGGAGGAACTGTTTTCCAAAGTGGCTGCACCATTTTACATTCCAGCCAGCAACATTTATGGGTTCCAGTTTCTCCACATCTTTGCCATACTTGTTATTGATTTAGCTCTACTAGTGGGTATGAAGTGGTATCTTGTGATTCGGCTTTGCATTTCCCAATGGCTAATTTTAATACATATTTAATGGAAACCTAACATTACTTTGAAATACGATTAAAAAAAAAATTAGTCTTATAAAAAGTGAATTAGAGGGTCGGCCGAGTGGCTCAGTTGGTTAGAGCGCGAGCTCTGAGCAAAAGGGTCGCCGGTTCGATTCCCACATGGGCCAGTGAGCTGTGTCTGAGCTGAGCTGCTGCAGAGCTGCCAACAGGTGGCAGGATGGCTCAGCTGGTGAGAACACATACTCCTAACAACAAGGTTGCCGGTTCGACTCCCACATGGGATGGTGGGCTATACCCACCCAAAACTAAGATTGAACACAGCACCTTGAGCTTAGAGGCCACGAGCTGCCAACCGGCGGCTGGATTGCAACTGGACTTGGAGCTGAGCTAGCTGCGCCTCCACAACTAAGATTGAAGGACAACAACTTGCTGTTCCCCTTCCCCAACTCCCCAATAAAATCTTTTAAAAAAAGAAAAAGTGAATTAGAGAGGTACCAAGAGTAGTTAGAGTCACAGAAACAGAGAGCACAATGGTGGCTGCCAGGGCCCTGAGGGAGACGGCCTGGGGAGTTACTGTTTAATGGGTGTAGTTTCAGTTTGAGAAGATGAAAACATTCTGGAGATAGACAGTGGTAATGGTTGCACAACAGTATGAATGTATTTAATGCCAGTGAACTGTACACTTAAAATGACTGAAATGGTAAATTTTATGCATATTTTACCACAACTTTTTAAAAAAGTAAATTAAAGCATTGAGACATCTTTAATATAGTTTAATATTGCCATAAGCATTGAAACCATGTTTATGAGAGCACACGTATTTGTTCCTGTAGGAATTCTTTTAAAAGAATACATAAAGACCTATTTTTAAAGAAATGAAAAGGGGAGCTGGTATTTTCACATTTTAAAAAAGGGGGGGCTCAGAACGACTGGCTATGGGGTTATAAAGATGGCTTAGAACAGTGTGCCCCAGATATGCTACCTGAGTTAAACTGTATTCAGATTGTTGTATTTATTTGTAATTCCTGAATTTGTTACCCAGAGCTGTCAATCAAAATTGACAGTTAAAGTGATCAGTTAAAATTTATTTGATGCAAGTGTCTTTTGTTCAAAAGGGATTTTGTAGTCATACTGGTGCAGCCTGTTCGACAGTTAAGTCATTAATGACTAATTGTTCTGATTAAAACTAGAGGCTGCAGTCAGACCATGCAGGCTGCAGGACCCGCAGTCAGTGCCGTCAGGCCGGACCTCTCCGGGTGGCCATGAAGTTCCCAACTCGAAATACCAGGAGGGCAGCCAACAAAAGAGCAGCACCCCCTAAGCCTTCAGAGAGTTCTGTGACTGATCCCGGTTCTGATTCAGAAGACGAAAATGGCATGAAGTTTTTGGAGAAAAGGGCTTTAAATATAAAGCAAAACAAAGCAATGGTAGGTATCTGACTTTGAATGTGTTAGAACTATTTTAACCTATTTTAACTGTTCCCAGCTTTTTCTCTAAGCCACTTGTTGCTTATCTGCATCAAGAATTATTTTCAGTGTAGCTGTGAAATCTTGATAATGTGTGCTTTAAAATGTGTTTCTCTCCCTAAACTAACTTTTCTTCTTCTTTTAATCTATTCAAGTCTTGGTAAACATGTAGGGGAAATCAGAAACTCTGAGATGTGCTACACTGATTTCCAGAAGTTGCTCATTTTCAGCAGTTACAGTAAACCAATAATTTCTGTTTAATTTCCTTCCTTTTTAGCTTGCAAAACTAATGTCGGAATTAGAAAGCTTCCCTGGATCGTTCCCTGGACGGCGTTCCCTCCCAGGCCCCAGTTCAGTGAGTGCCAATCCTTGTTTGTTCAGCAGTATTTGGGGGGTGTCTAAGGTACATTGCTCAGGATATCTGAAAATCCAGTTTCTTATTTATTTATTTATTTATTTATTTATTTATTTATTTATTTATTTATTTATTTTTTATTGGGGAATTGGGGGATGGGAACAGCGTTGGGGAATTGGGAGAAGGGGAACAGACAAGTTGCTGTCATTTTGTTCTTCAGTCTAGTTGTGGAGGACGTTGCTTCACTGGCCCAAGTTGGCACCAATATTGCACTCTTCCCCAGTGAGGCAGATCAGTCGCCGGCTTCTGGACGGCCGCTCACAGCGGCTGCTGGCCGCTCACGCTGGCTGCTGGCTACATACGGTAGCCCATGGCAACCACTGCCACAGGGACTGCAGCCTATGTCGTCGCCGGCGACTCATGGCAGCCCAGCTCCAGGTCGAGCTGTTGTTCAGCATCTTAGCTGTAGAGGGCAGTGTCACTGACCCTCATATGTGGGATCCGAACCGGGGCCCTCTGGCATCCCAAGCCTGTTCTTAACCATCGCGCCACTCGGCCAGCCCTCCAGTTTCTTAATTTGTGTGGCCCTCTAGACTGAGAGGAAATAGAGGAAACTTGCTGATAGATCTCTGAGAGGTCTTTCTTGTATCCTGGGGCAGGTGTGGACTCCCCATGCCATGAACCCCGCCTTGATTGTTTATTTCTCTCCATCCCAACTAGGCTAAGCCTGTCAAGGGCAGGGAATAAAGATTGACATTTTTTTCCTGTGTCCGCAGCATTAGCAAATTTTCCTCTTGCCTGGTAGATGCATAGTAATAGATGTTTTTTAAAATCCAAAAAGGAAGAAATTATTTTCTTAACCAAGTCATGGCCTAATATATGTGATTGTATTCTGAGGAGCTAATTTGGTGCAACTCGGGAATCTGGTGTGTCTGTTGTGGTACCAAAAAAAAAAAGACTTTCTTTCCCTGCCTCTCCCTGAGGCGAAAGGGAAGAAGCAAGCAAGGAATGGAAGAAGGAAAACCATACATAAACATTCTCTCTCTTGCAGTGTAGGAACAGTGAGTATGTGTCAGGGTTTAAGAGATGTCATAGAAAAGGTGTTTTTGGAAAAGGAGATTTGTTCTTAAATCTTTATTATGTGGGTGAAGAAGTAGATCATCTCTCAGTTTGAGAGGAACTGCGCTTGGTGTTACACAAGCAAAAGTACAATGGCTATATCGTTTTGGGGCTCATTTTCCATGCATTACAGAAAGGATAAAGAAAATTAGAAAATGGAGCTCTCCTTTTACTTAAATAAAAACGTGTAAAGAGGGCCGGCCCAGTGGCTCAAGTGCTCGCTCAAGAGTTTGAGCTCTGAGCAGCAGCGGTGTGATTCCTGGCCCGAGCTGAGCTGCCAACAGGTGGCAGGGTGGCTCAGCTAAAAACAAACAAACAAACAAACAAAAACCACATAAAGAGCAGGTGCCACTTCTCTTCATTCTGGAATAAATGGGTTCCATCATATGTGTTTTGTTTAGCAATCAAAGACACCCCGAAGGCGTACCTTTCCAGGTGTTACTTCCAGGAGAAACCCCGAACGGAGAGCTCGTCCTCTTACCAGGTCGAGGTCCCGGATCCTTGGGTCCCCTAGCGCTCTACCCACAGAGGAGGAGGAAGAGGAGGAGGAGGATGATAAGTACATGTTGGTGAGAAAGAGGAAGGCTGTGGACGGCTACATGAACGTGAGTTCTCATTTGTGCTTGCTTTTCTGTTTTTCATCTTCGGTAGGCCCAGTGTCATATACACAGCACAGGTACACTCAGCCTCAACACCAAATGATTCATGTTAAACGTTCCTTCTCAAACCATTTAGAATTGTTAACGTCACACAAACTTATTTGATGATTTTTGTTAGTGGGTAAGGAAGTCAAACTTGTGTTCTTCAGCTTAGTTGTAGGAATCATTTCCATAATGTCCTGTTATCCTTAGTAAACTTATGACTTTCTTCCTTTCCATAAGCCTTAAGATTTCCAGGCTGAATTCTCTGTGAAGTTATACATCAAGTATTTGAGATTCAGAGCTGGGGAGTCAGTAAGAACACTCACTGTTCATGCCTGTTGTGCAGGATGATGACACGCCCAGAGGTCGTCGCCCGGGAGCCATGACGCTTCCGCATGTTATTCGCCCAGTGGAGGAAATTACAGAGGATGAGTTGGAGAACATCTGCTACAATTCTCGAGAGAAGATATATAGCCGTTCATTGGTAAAAGCCTCCACATTATGTCTGAAAATTATTACGTCTGTGAGAGAGGAAGAACAGCTTCTGTCCTTAGAGCTTTGCTAATGTTCTAAAGGTCTTAGCTTATGGAATGTGTGCCTATGTGGTTTTTTTTTTTTTTTTTACATAAGAAAGAGAATTTTGTAGCATCCTTGGGATTTAGCTCTCTTAAGCCTTCAGCAGCTTTAAATCTTTTAATTTTGAACTTGATTCATTAAGCATATTTGCGGTGTATTATGTGTGTCTACGTAGAGAGGTACTGGGGGTTTGGTGGTGTGCTAAAAGTAAACGAATTTGGGGCAGGATTTTTTTTTTTCTTTTTTTGCATGATAAGATCTTTTCTTGCAGAAAAGTAATTTTTTATAGCATTGAGTCTGCCAGGTGAATGAAATCACCATGCTTGAGGTACTTTTCATGCCCTGGCATATACATGTGTATGTAGATGTGAAATGAGATTCAAAATGTCAGACTACCCACAAAGAAGGACATTTCTTGAAATATGCTATTTTTCTCTACAAAAAGCAATGGGTTTTTTCCTTCTCATTACTTGCGTATTATTTGTAGGGATCTACTTGTCATCAGTGCCGCCAGAAAACTATTGATACCAAAACAAACTGCAGAAACCCAGAGTGCTGGGGCGTTCGAGGCCAGTTCTGCGGTCCCTGCCTTCGAAATCGTTACGGTGAAGAGGTCAAGGATGCTCTGCTGGATCCAGTAGGTGCCTTGAAAGGGTGGTCCTGTGGGCTTGAAGGTCCGTCCTGAGCTGATGGGGCCAGAAAGGCATCGGTAGAAGAGTTGGGCCCTTAGTGTTGTGGGCACTCATTTCAGGGGAGGCAGGTAAGTTCATATCATTGGTGCCAGATTGGTGTGAGCCCCTTCCAGAGTGCTCAGGACGCGGCCATTCAGGGAAACTTGACTCTCCACTCAGCCCTGGTAGTTGCTGTGTGACTTTTGTGCTCAATTTCCCGAGGGAACATTTAGGCATGACTAAGGGATTTTAACTGTTAAGAATTTTTTTTTTAATTAAAAAAAAATAGATTTAAATGCAGTTGATGATAGTTACCCTAGAGGATAAGTAGAGTCGACTAGATAAGTAAGGGGGGAACTAGGTTTGATTTAACTGTGCCTTTTCACAATTCTCCTGCAGGACTGGCATTGCCCGCCTTGTCGAAGCATCTGCAATTGCAGCTTCTGTCGGCAGCGGGATGGGCGCTGCGCCACCGGGGTCCTTGTGTACTTGGCCAAATACCAGGGCTTTGGGAACGTGCACGCTTACTTGAAAAGGTAATGGTTGGCTTTTCTCTCTTCCACACCCAAACCTTACCTTCATTTATGTGTCTTAAGAGGATGAAAGAAGTCCGAGTCTGGTTTATCTCTGGGTCGGAGGGGTGCAGGGAGTGACTGGAAAGGGGGCACATTTGGGTGTCTTTACCTGGGTGGCAGTGATCCATGCTGTACACGCGCGTGTAAAATTCAAGTTGTACCCATAAAATTCAAGTGTTATAACATGTTATAACTCAATGAAAATTCTGAAAAGAGTGAATTAGGCTTTCAAAAGAGAATTCTTAGTTGGAAAATGCTATCCTGACATGTTCCCTCTTCTCTTTTCAGTCTGAAACACGAATTTGAAATGCAAGCATAATATTTGGAAGATCACTGCCTGCCTTCTGCTTCACCAAGCTTCCTTGTTAAAGTTTCCAATTTTGTCATGTGGTTGACACCAGAGTTAAGCATTGTGATGGCCGGGCCGGTCAGTTTTATAGGCAACTCAAATCAAACTAACCTCTGGACAGACAGGTGTTTCCGAGCATCGTGGAGCATATTGCTAGCCATGCTTTGTCCCCCTGCCGTTTCGCCTTTGCTTTCCCTGCCCCCCACCCCTCACCCCACACCATCCCCCCTCTATTTCCAGTGGTTCTCTGTCTCCATCTAGTTTCTGAATTCTTTTCATTTTATTTTGTTTTTTAGTTTCTGAATTCTTTTTAAATGACGGTTTTATGAAAGCATGTTTGATTTAATTGGTGTTCAAATAACCCTGGAATCCACCTATAAAACCAAGCACTTAGAAACACAGTAGTAGTGTTAACTACTAACATTTTTTAATTCTAGAGACCAGCTTTCAGACTTGTTTACACAAAAATAATGGGTATGATTCAGTGTTTTGTACTAGTTGGCATTTTTAACAGAATCAAGGCACAAAAGTCTTAAAATACTGTGGAGAAATGAGGCAATTGCTGGAAAGTGGAATATGTTCCTTTGGGCGCCTCTCATGAGAATATTCCGTGTATTGTGCTTGTTACACAGGTTGTCGGAGCTGACACTTAGTTGCTATTTTCTTCCACTGTGAGGTTGGATGGTGCATCAGACTCACAGAGTCCAGGACCCAAAAGTTTGTGGGCAGTTCTAGAAGTCATTGCAGAAAAGGCATGTAGGCAATTAGGATGGCGAGGCTTCAGAAATTGATTTGAATCCATAGTATAATGGTAGTTTGCCAGATTTATTTCAATTCATAAATGTGTAAGGTATTCCAAATAAATTCTCGAGCATTTTTGCATGGAAAATTGATACTAATACTAGTCTACAATCCTTTGCAGCTTTTGCTTTCTTGAAGAAATTATAAGCTAGGCATAGGTTCGTGTTCAGCTTTTAAGCACTTGTAGAACAATGAGAAGTGCCTTTTTGGAGATGGGTGACTTGCCAGTTTGTTAACTTGGCATCCCTGCCATTAGAGTTTCTGGGCCAGATTCATATATCATCTCCCTCTCCCATTTTTTGCATTAAATCATTTGGTGGAGGTGAAATACAAGTGTCCATTTTGCTTTGCATATGCAGCCTGTTGCTGTACCCATGGTTTTATGCATAATTGGACCTTGAATCAAATGTAAATAGAGCTTTTCTTCTGTAATGCTTTTATACAAAGTTTTTATTTTAATAATAAAACATTTTATTCTAGCTTGTCTACTTTTCTAAATCTTTAATGCTCAATCTTACTGCACTGAATTCTAATTTAAACAACAGACCCTTTCTGCCCTTTCTAGAGTCTCCCTTTTGGTTTAAGTTTCTGAAGGTCAAGGGCCAGACAGGGCGGGCCTACCTTGGCGATGTGACTAATAGTTGTGATCAGAGAATCAACCAAGACAGCTACATCGCCAGATAGAAAATAATAGGTGTTCATGAAGTTTTACAATGTTGTTTTCCTTTACCATTTCCCAACCCAAGAACTAGGAGCAATTTCACAATACTTACCTTGCTTTTAGCAACCATTTAAATGTTTCCAAAAGGGACACTGCTTCGAGGTCTGTTCCAGGACTGAAAATCAAAAAGACAAAAAAGGCATGATTCAGAAATGAATCAAACTATAATGGACTTGAGTAATTTCATAATCAAGATGGGCAAAGGCAGTAGAGGGGGTTGCAGGAGGGGTTAGTGTTTTTTTCATTTTTTGTCAGCAATGTTTTATTTCTAATTTTCTAAAAATTTGTATTAAAATACAGCTAACTTAGAATATTAGTTTCAGGTGTACATCAAAATTATTCAGCATTACCCACCTGGACCATACACAGTTATTACCATATTATTGATTACATTCTCTATGCTTTAGTTTTTACATCCTCATGACTATTGGGGTATCAGAAAAGTCATGACACATTTTTGCAATAACAAACAAAATACGTCATGACTTTCCCGACAACCCAATATTTTATAACTTATCAATTTGTATTTCTTAATTCCTTCACCTTTTTCACCTCCCATCTGCAAACCATCAAATTGTTCTTTGTATGAGTTTGTTGGTTTCATTTGTTTATTTTGTTCTTTGGATTCCACTTATAAATGAGATCATATGACGTTTGTCTTTCCCTGCCTGACTTACTACACTCAGCACAATACCCTCTAGGTCAATCCATGTTGCAAATAGCAAAATGTCATTTTTTACTGCTGAGTAATATTCCATTGTATACATATATCACTTCTTTGTTCATTCAGGGATACCCATGTTGCCTTCATATTTTGGCTATTGTAAAGAATGCTTCAATGGACAAATGGATGAGCATGTCCCCTTGAAGTAGCATTTTAAGTTTCTTCAGATAAATATCCAGAAGTGGGATTGCTGGGTATTTCTTAGTCTCTTGTTATAATCTTTGTTTTAAAGTCTGTTTTATCTGGTAGAAGCATTGCTACCCCAGCATTGTTTTTTTTTTTTCCATTTTCATGAAGTATCTTTTTCCATCCCTTTACTTTCAGTCTGTGTGTGTCTTTCAATCTGAAGTCTCTTGTAGGCAGCATATGTAAAGGTCTTCTCATCCATTCAGCCCTGCTATCTTTTGATTGGAGCATTTAATTCATTTATATTAAAAATAATTGTTGAGGGCTGGCCAAATGGCACGTTGGTTAAGAACTGGCTTAGGATGCCAGAGGGCCCCGGTTCAGATCCCACATATGAGGGCCAGTGACACTGCCCTCTACAGCTAAGATGCTGAACAACAGCTCAACCTGGAGCT